GGATCTTTATAGTTCAGTGCTAGTGGTCAATGCATGAACAATATGAATCTTTATAGCTCAGTGTTGGTGTTCAATGCATGAACAATATGAATCTTTATAGCTCAGTGCTAGTATTCCAAAAACAAGTAACAAGTGAATCGGAATACACTCCCGCCTCTCCCGAAATTGATATCGGTAATACATAAATTCCAGGAAATGTTAATACTCAGACTGAGAGATGCCGCGAAGTTAAGTTTTCATCTTCTTGGGAGTCTGTTAAGAGTTGTTCTACTTTAACAGCTTCCTTTAGATAAACCAATATGAACAGCAATAACTAATCGATTTTAACGTTAAAAAAACACCTTAATAAATGTAAAGGAACATAATAATTAAACGCAAGTCATGCAGACAAAATTAACCACGTTATAAAAACGTTTTTTTTGTCTTCATGTAGACATCTAATGAATAATTAAACGCAAGTTATGTAAAAAAATCATGAGTGATTATATTACTTTCAAATCAAATACACATAACAAGGATTCCTTATACGACAAATACGAGTAAACTTAGTTAAATATCCGTTCACTGGTAGAAGATATGATGATGTCAACAATATTGCTGATGGTATAACGGCTGCAACTCGGACTGATGTTACCGAAACAGCTGTGCGCGGCTGTATTCGTAACACCACACCTGTATTTTACCCAACTGGTATGAATGACCTAACAAAACGATGGGGCAAATATATTGTATTAATGTGACTATGTCGAGAAGTAATATTTGGTTTTCTCATCGGTGTACATTTCATGGTTGTAATCTGACATCGTATATTTACAAGAAATAAAATTCCGCTGTTCTTCTGGACATCTCTAATGTACGAGAATACTGTAAAAGGTGAAATAATTTAATCAAAGTTAATAAGTAATATCAAAATACGACATTTTAGGTAATCTTAGTAACGTTATGTACAGTATCTCATGATTTCTAACAGGAGTACTAACATACACAATGTAATGATTTTACTTATTTTGCTCAGTTATGTTATTTCGTCATGTTGATAGTTTCATGTAACGTATGTCACACATAAATCCTACAAAATACAAATGATATTTTTGTGATTTCTACCAAAATACTTTGTTAATATGTTTGTAGATATTGGTTTCTGAGTAAAACCCATCAAACAAGAGAAATAATGGGTATTTTTATGGATTCACTTCCTCCTCCTTCAACAGAATAGTTTGTGGTCAGAAAAAAAACTCATTCCATAACTTACTATCTTTAGTCGTATTTACATATTTGATAGAAAGAAGAATAAAATATCTATACGAGGGACAGATAGAGAAATGTATGATAAACAACCATATATTTAATGTCACATTTACTGGCTAACCCTAATATGTAGATCTTGTGAGCTTTGTTTAGTTGGTCGATTTGAAACGATTAATTTTTTCCTGTGTAGTTTTTGAAACAAGAAAATTGAAGTTTGATATTTGTTGATTGAGTCTCCATTGCCTGTTATATGCAAGTAAAAACTGTCTTATTGTTACATCAGTATTTTAGAAGAAAAACTGTCTTATTGTTATAACCGTATTTTACAAGAATTTGCAATTTGTTTGTTTTTCTGTCTTCATGGTATAAGTACAATGTTTCAATTCTAATATTTACTGGTTTTTAGAGAATTTTGACCGAATCCTTGAAGTACAGTTGAACTAAATTTTGCAAAAATATCAGTAAATTTGTCCTTGTGTCAGCAGGTATTTGAATTGTATACAGAAAATAGTTAAGAATGTACATAACAATAGTGTGTCTTTGATTTTCTTTCAATTTATATGGAGTAAACATATATAAGTCTTCAAAACAAACTTATGTATATATGTTTGTATGCTGAATGTATATAAAGTATGTTCGATACATTTATTAACCTTAAGCACAGCACGAAACTTTACATCTTTCACAATACCGTGTTTATATATTAACCTTAAGCACAGCACGAAAAATTTACATCTTTCACAACACCGTGTTTATATATTAACCTTAAGCACAGCACGAAAAATTTACATCTTTCACAACACCGTGTTTATATATTAACCTGCAGTACTGAAAACTTTACATCTTTCACAATACCGTGTTTATATATTAACCTGCAATACTGGCTCTAATGCACTTGCACATAAATAATCATTACGAAATGTCAGACCGCACTGTGGCCTGAAAATGAATCCCGACGTATGGCCGAAACGATAAAATCACAATAGACACAGCTGTAGATCAGTTGGTGGCTATGGAAAAGTTCACAATAGACACAGCTGTAGATCAGTTGGTGGCTATGGAAAAGTTAGAATTCTCAATGAAGACCTGTTACGTTTACTTCAACGAATGCCTGATGTTACCTGAAAGTCATGTAGCATTGACTATCTTCTTCTATGATGCAAGGTGCTAGTAGCAACATGCTATCTGCTACCTGAGAATAAAAACAAACGTACGTTTAATTAATACTACAATAGAATGTGTAAAGATGGCATATAACCAAGAACTTTACCAGAAACTGTGTAAAGATGGCATATAACCAAGAACTTTACCAGAAACTGTGTAAAGATGGCATATAACCAAGGACTTTACCAGAAACTGTGTAAAGATGGCATATAACCAAGAACTTTACAAGAAACTGTGTAAAGATGGCATATAACCAAGAACTTTACCAGAATGTGTAAAGATGGCATATAACCAAGAACTTTACCAGAAACTCATTCTCACCTAAAGACAGATAAAGTTTCATTTGGTGGCATTTCCTACCACTGGTATAGCGGCAGTGACGTGAGTCACCAGTTTAACTGGTGGTAGTGACGAGAATAGCCACTGGTCTGGCGGGAGTGATGAGAATCATCATTGACTTGGTGAGAGTGACAAAATCATAACTGATATAGCGAAAGTCCTGCTAATCATCACTGATCAGGCGAGAGTGACGAGAATCATCATTGACTTGGTGGGAGTAACAAAATCATAACTGATATAGCGAAAGTCCTGATAATAATCACTGATCTGGCGAGAGTGATGAGAATCATCATTGACTTGGTGGGAGTGACAAAATTATAACTGATATAGCGAGAGTCCTGATAATCATCACATTTCTGGCGAGAGTGATGAGAATCATCATTGACTTGGTGGGAGTGACAAAATTATAACTGATATAGCGAGAGTCCTGATAATCATTACTGATCTAGCGAGAGTGACGAGAATCATCATTGACTTGGTGGGAGTGACAAAATTATAACTGATATAGCGAGAGTCCTGATAATCATTACTGATTTAGCGATAGTGACGAAAATCATCATTGACTTGGTGGGAGTAACAAAATTATAACTGATATAGCGAGAGTCCTGATAATCATTACTGATTTAGCGATAGTGACGAGAATCATCATTGACTTGGTGGGAGTAACAAAATTATAACTGATATAGCGAGAGTTCTGATAATCATTACTGATCTGGCGAGAGTGACGAGAATCATCCTTGACTTGGTGGGAGTAACAAAATTATAACTGATATAGCGAGAGTCCTGATAATCATTACTGATCTGGCGAGAGTGACGAGAATCATCCTTGACTTGGTGGGAGTAACAAAATTATAACTGATATAGCGAGAATCCTGATAATCATCACTGATCCAGCGAGAGTGATGAGAATTTAGGTTTGTCATCTTGTTCATTTCACAGCCTTTGTTAGTTAAAGTGAATTAGCGCGCTTTATATTACAGAAATGTTTATCGCGTGAAATTATTCATTTTAAGCCCTATTATAGGGATTTGTTCCTTAGTATCTAATAAACCTATAGTTAACAAGTGCACGTTTGAATATATATATAATCAACACATTCAACCTATTTTGTCACGAAGATATCAATAAGCTGTTTTCCTGTTGTTCATATGTACTAATAAAGTTGGAAATATTATTCGTTACAAGATAAAGCTGTGTAAATTGTTGTATACAGTTAATAAACTGGTTAAACAACGATAACTGT